AAGCTAGGTCAAGTTTGATAGTTTATTCTTGTGAAGTGGCACTCATGGTCTCGTGGTTGTGTTGGTTGGTAGTTTGGCTTGTGCTTCCTCTTGGTTTCATTTATAAATTCTAAAAATAAAAATAATCCTATTTTCAGGGAATGGAATTACTTGGGGTCCCTCGTGATAAATTTGTCTCTAGTTGTGGTACCCTGGTGATAAATATCCTCGTCTCAGATCCCAAGCGTGGTGCAAATCGTGCTACAAACGTCTAGCGCGTTCGGAACGGCGATTGTTGGTGCAGGCGTTTTCTTCTTCTCGGCAGTGACACACGGGTCTGGTGACAGAATGACATACATGTCCGTCCACCTTCGCTGGGTTCATCGACCGGTGCTGAGAATCTTTTGCACTTCGCTTTAGCTTTTACTCGCACTCAGCAAAGACCTGGTTGAAAATCTGGTGGTCGCAATTAAAAAAGAAAGTTTGGCGCAATATTTAGTAGCAGGAAATGAAGATTCGCCAAACTTGAAGCATCAATGCAGTAATTCTGCAATATAAACGAACGTTGCTACTTAAGTAAACAATTAACTGTAAAGTTCATGGCAAGACACAAATATTTGTACTACTGCAATTCTCCTGCTTCACGAACTTTGCATGCTTAACTTTTCAATTAACAAATCCAACTTCTGCTCCAGTGTGTCCATACGAACAATTAAATCATCAACCTTCTTTCTCGAAACAATTGGATCGTCTCCAACTCCATCCAGTAAATCATGCGAAGATTGGTGTTTCTGCTCGACGGTGAGATGCGCGATGGTCGCCTCGCACTCCTGGATTCTGGCCTCGGGGAACATTTTTTTAAGCGTTGCTGGCTTGAGAAGGGTTTGTGGAGACCATTCGAACGAGGAATCACTGGTTCTGGCTTCATCGAGCTTGGCTCTCAGCGTATCGTGCAGCACAATCGGTCGGATTCTCCCCCAAAAGACAACGTAGTGACGACGTTTATCTCGACGGCAGCACGGGATCCACAAGAGGTCATTCGCTCGAGCTAGCCACTGACGGAACACGTTAGCAGCCACACGTTTAAAGACCCAGCACGTGTGCTTGTCTTTCTTCTTTTTCTCCTCTTGATACGCGTCCACTACAAAAGCAAGTATGATGTTCAAAAGCACAAAGGTCTCCATAGCCATATACGCCCAATAGTAGACAACCGAGTAGTCGATATCCTTAATACTGTCGAAGTCAAAGTCCCCGTAGATCATGTTCACACATGACTTCATGGATCTTAGAAACGACGAAAAATCTACAACGCGGTCGCCGAAGAGCACCGTTCCAGCAACAGCAAAGGCCACAAAAACGACAGCAAAAATCACTGAAAAGGTCCAAAACGAACGAACAGCACTTGCCATCGTCCGTGTGAGAATGCTCAGGCCAACATGATCACGGAACGTGTTGAGGATTCGAAGTCCAAGCACTAACACCGCTGCAGTGGCAAAAAGCCTTAGTAAAACCGTGAGGTTGGCAATTGCTCGGAACGATCTGCTCACCGACGCGAGATTGTCACTGGCTTCATCGCCAGTTTGTCCTCCTTCTCCAAGTGAAAGTAGTTTACGTTTGAAGTCAGAGTTCGTCGTGACTGCCTGGGTGATCAATACTGTAATGTAGAACAGATATACTATTGGACTCCGGAAGAAATCGATAGCGAACCATCCGTCAGGAAATGCCCACACCCCGATCGCCTTACCGGTGTGTTTTATGAGCTTTAGCCATTGCCGCAGGGTACCCAATCGATGTTTCTTCTCGTACGTTCTTCCATACGAAATGATGGCAGGAACGAGGATCCACGGCGAAAACCACAATACCACTAGAATATCCACCACGATCGGTGTTGCCGACGGGTACTGATCTAGCAGTGTTGATGTCGTTGAAGCACTGGGTTCGACATATCCACCATCATTGAAATCAAGCTGAAGCTTGGTCACCGCATAGCCAGGAAGCTGCCCGTTTAGCGTGATGACGGTGATAAGTAATTGCTCAGTTGAAGAGTTGAGCCAGAATCCACTGTCCTTCTTCTCGGTTAGCAGGGTAGTAGCGTCGGAGGCATTAGTGTCAAAGCTAATGAGAAATTCGCCACTTGTTGTAGTTGATGAACCGAAGCAACCGGTGTACATATTTAAGAGAAAATCCGGAGTATCACATTCTTCTGGTGTCATATACGTCACCTCGAATTGAACAGCTCCGAGCACCTTATTGAACGTTGCAATCCGGCCTTTTTGATCTTCTGGTAGTGTAGCTCCATTGTGATCAGTTGTGACGAAGACTTGAGGAATGAACGTATCGTTTAACCATTCGAAAATGTCTGGGATCGTCTCGATATTGTAGAACTTGACCGGTGAACCAGAAGTGACAGTATCGTCTCCTGTAGTCGCGAGTGTTGACGAGACCCCGTAGTACTGGTGATACATGTTGGTAGTTGGGATGTGGAGGAATATCGCGGCGACGAAGATGCAGAAGGAGATCATGGCGAGGAGGATCTTTTTCATGTCTGTCGCGTGTTTTTTATCATGCCAAAGTACGTCGAGTGCCATTTTAACCGAGATGGTTGGTTCCGGATCGACAACTTCAGTATCACTCTCGCTTTGGTACCCTCTTCTCTTACTCTCCCCGGTTTCACATGGGTCGGGCGACAGAATGAGATACATATCTCCTGCCAACACCATGATGGCAAGTCGGCTTGAACGCTGTAGAGAAGATGACTTAAGTCTTGGAGTTCAAATTGGAAAATGAATGCGAGGGCTCTACATCGAACGAGTTTCCAGACTGCAACTGAAATGCGGGCCGGAAGGAGACGAAGCTGTTGCTCTATTTCGTCTTCGAATTCACCCTTTGGATACGGCCAGCACTGTTAAATGATCATATATCAGCCGAACTGAGGGGCAACTATCATACTCTATAGCAAGACAGGATTGATAAATACAGAGTGTAGCGCCTTGAACATTGTGATGATGAGTCACTCTTAGTGACTCCGTAAATGAGCAACACCGTCAGCCACAATCAAAACGTTCAGGGTCACATGAAGACAGGGTGATGGTGTTTGTTGCTCATTTTGGTGCGCTATATTGGTAAAGGGGTGCAGATCCACTTCTGGCGGAGTGTAGCCACCATCTATTAAGAGTACAACTGCCAAGCATTATTGAAAAGTTGGAGAAGTACAGAAAGATACTTTTCATGATGCCCACGCGAACAATTGGTCTCCAACGCCAGGTAAATCGTAATCGTCAGCAGCTGCTGCATATCTGGATCTGTTGAACAGATTCTGCTCCCCATTTGTAGTACAGCGATTTTAATCGCACAGATTTAAATCGCTGTCTTGTCCACTTTTCAGACTCACAGCCATCGCAGCGATTTGCATTTTCATTTAGCTTTGCCTTCAGATTCGAAACGAGATTCAGCATGGCAACATGAGCGGCACTTTGTCCTGTGCTTTCGTGTAACCGGAATCCCACTAATCATTTTTTCAGTGTGCTAGCGACCCGATCACGCTCCGAACAAGATGATTAAGCTCGTGGTACTGTTATTGGTGGCCATTGCGGCTGCTTCCGCTCTAACAGTAGACGGCGACATCACTACAACGTTGACTCCACCGCCCTCATCAATTATGCCGGACCTCGACACCGATACCGATTCACTCGACAGCGACGACGATGAATTTGACGACGATGACGATGAAGAAGATGATGATGAATATCCGGAAGAAAACGTAGATGAAGACGATTTATCTGAAACGCTGGCTTGGGGTTTGATGGACATGAGTGTGTCAGCCAACATCAGCACCTTGCAGTCCACTTACACTAACTGGGTTGGCTCAGCACACGGTGCTGGAGTGGACACGGCGTGCTACCGGGAAACTCACATTGCAAAAGTGTGTCCTCTCGGTTTTGAGTACAAGCTCGGTACATGCTGGGCCGAGTGTCCTCTGGAATACCCCGTCGAGTGTGGAATGCAGTGTATCCGACAGAATGATGACTGTACGCTTGAAATGCTGTCCAAGTTCTCATCAGTAGCTCAGGCGGCGCTTTCGGTCGCTACTTTTGGAGCGTATGGTACATTCTCAAAGATGGCGAAAGGAGTCCAGATAGCGTTCCGTTGCGGCAAGGAAATTGCCAATTTGGTAAAGGCACTGACAAAGTATGTGCGAACAGTTCAGGTAAAGGACCCGCAGACCACGACTGAGGAGCTCACAACGATGCTCTACCAGACCGACAACGTAGTCTTCGACTTGCCGATCACTATCATGTCATGCCTCGGGATTAAAGTGTCGGCTGAACTGAAGTTTACGGATCGAGTTACGAATACGGTGGAGCTGTTCGTGAAGGAGGTTGTGACCCACCAAGGATCCATCACGTCCGGTTGGGAAACGTTTAAAAGCTTCATGAGGAATATTTCACTGGATGACGCACTCGACAGTCTCGACGATACAGACATTACATCACTGCAGTCAGCTTTGGCGTCGAATTCAACCTGTGGTGACGACATGAAGCACCTTACAGATCGAGTATGGATGACTGTGGCATATCTACGCAAAGAGAATCCAAGTATCACTGAAGACGAGATCCGAGTGATCCTCAGCAAGTCAAACCTCATGCACCACGAGATCCCTCTCGCCACCAACAACTGTATGAAGCAATTCATTGAGGAATCCGACGAGACCATTGCGTACTCGACACGTGACACTTTACGCAAAACTTTTGGGGGTATTGTAGACGACCTTATTCGCTCCGGAACGAGCGATAATGGCACGTATCTCACTGCTGAAGAGTACGCGTATACCATTAGCGACAAAGTATTGATACTGGCTGCAGTTTGGGACCCATCCAACGTCGCTACTGCAGTTTCCGAGTTTTTCCAAAGTATCTGCGGTCCTACGGAATTTATTGGTGAGGTTGACGATGGCTCTGCATCCGATGCGTTAGGCCTTCGAACGGTGGGTAAAGCCTTTAACAACAGTGCTGGAACGTGGACCAAAAAGGGCGATGGCGCAGTCACCGTCGTATTTCACAGCGAAGATACTGAAGATGTGACTGTGAACGTCATGTCAGGCGGGAATCAGATCGACCAGGTTAAAGTGAAAGCTGGTACCAATGTGTCGTGGGCCTCCAATATTACGGTGCTAGGTGGTAAGACACTGTACTTGGATCGCTGGCGCGATGGGTTTCTGGGAATTCCAGGCACTGGAGGTGGATCTCTGCTGCTTTGGGTCCCTCGATCGGATCAAGGCGGAAAGCTGGAGCTCACTTCAAAGCTCAACGTTAGCTAGCTAATAGTTAGTTTGTGTTCTAGAGTCAATGTGATAAAGCATAGGAGAGGACGGTACTGCTAGACAAAATGTAATATGAAATGCCGTGATGGCCAAAAATGTTGATGAAACTCCTTGCAACCTGCTAATGTTTTATTAGATTCTTGGTACTTTCGAGCCGATGGCGACGACTAGAACCAGCCATCGGGCTGGTCGTATGTCACTGGTCTTAACATCGACCATCCCGCGCGACGACACACCCATCCTATCTCCACAACGAATTCCCCCCGCTGTGATACAAGAGGAGTCGAGTTCAGGAACCACACCATGGTACAAACCTCCAGCTCGACGACTGCAAGACGCGCTCCAAGAATGCTCTGAAATCGATCAAGAGTTAAAAGTTCTCGAAACTTCAGGCCACACCCGAGTTGGAGGCTTTGCTAAACCTTTAGCGATGAAGCCAAAACTCTCGAGTATATTACAGAGCTCGAAGTCGTGTGGTATCGAAGCTCGAGACGAGGTTATCGATCTTTGTGAAGAAGGCGAAGGCACTTCGTCCGACCCATTTATCAATCAGTTCTACGACGATCAGGGACGGACATTATCTGAACAATTATTACGAGGTCGAATGCGAGTATTGGCCCTGGTAAAACTAGTTTATGGACACCAGAGTATCAGTAAAGCTCATGCTGAACTGGAATTAGGCGAGACTTACGCAAGGTTAAATCTCTGGAAGCAAGCGGAGCTGCATGCTTCGTGTGCTGCTAATCTTCTTCGAGAAATCGAAATAGCAGCGCCAAAAGCGAAACGTACCGCTGGAGGACAGAACGATAATGGAAAACTACTGAGACTAGCTCTCGAGTTCTGCTACAAAGCTCAATGTGATGAAGCAGCTCGAGGTCGTGTGTCCGCTGACGAATTGCTAGGGCATTTAAGCAGACACGGAGATAGTAGCAACCAGCTTTTAGCTACTGTCTTCGAGCACGAAGTGTTGGAAAAAGCATTTGAATCGAATCAAACTCTGCATTGGCAGAAGCTGCTGCTGCGACTCGAAGAGATCAACCAGGAACTGCACCAGCATCTCACCTTCGTGTCTGCACGATTGCCTCCTGGTGTAGCTCAGATGCTGAACGCGTTGTTCGTTTCTCTTGACACTGCAGAAGACGGTATCGTGCCATTTCACACATTTCTTGATCGTCTACAGACTGCAAATACAGACTTAAGTAACCGTAAAACTTCTGCTGCGTCGTACATCCACGCACTCTGCGGTACACTGCAACGCGTTCTCAATCGAGTATGCTATCACTCGCTGACATGGACAGAGATCCTGACGCTCGGAGCTCACAGCAACTTTCGACTTCCTTCAAACGAAGACTCTAGACCCGACGATGGCAGTCCTCCAGCGTTGCTAGCACGTGTCAAACTGCTGCTAAGTCGCGTGTATCTTCGACGAGGACAACTCGAAGAAGCTGTGCGATATGTCCAAACGGCAGTAGCAGCACGAGAGAAACTGGGCGCTGAATGCAGCGATCTGGTGCAGTATTATCTCGTAGCCGCCGAAGCGCAAGCGAGACGTGGACGGCAACTCCACGTTCTTGGACAGCAGGCCCGTCGAGATCGTGCTGAACGCTGGCTCAAGACGACCGAAGGCTCTCGGTATCTGCGATCTCGTGCACTGGAAGAAGTCGAACTTGCAAGCGGCAGTGGCCAGCCATTGTTGTCGAAGAAAGAGGCGGAGGCTCGTGCTAGAGCGAAATTGATCCAGGAGCTCACGGTCTCACCTCCACCATCAACACTCAGTACCAATCGTCCAGGGAATGACTACGAAGCTTCGGCTCGTTCGTTGACGGACGGAGCTCTGGAAAGCTGCAACAAGGCTTGGGAACTTCAGGAACGTCACTTTGGTCGGGAACATATCACCACTGCAGCTGTACACGTGAGTCTCGCACAGGTTCATCTTCTTCGAAGTATCAACGAGGATCGAGTGAATGCTGACGAAGCGAAGGAGGCCATTCATGAAGCGATTCACTGCTTCACTGCAGCTATCGACATCTACGAGAATGCGTGCAGTGGAACTGTATCAGCATCAGCGTTTCTCCGTCTCGAACTCGCCAAATTGTATCAGCAAGACCTACTCAAGCTCGACAGAGCACGCTCCGAGTACGAACTTGTGGGTCGCTTCTTCGCTACCTTTTCCGCTGAGTTCGCAGGGTCTGACAGCACCAAACGCGAGTGTTCTTCCTTGGCGTTGGATGCTTTCCGTCAATGGATCACGCTTAGTCGCAATGGCGCGGCGTCTCTGGACGACCAGCGATTTGTGCTAGAGGAAATGCACAACGTCAGTGTCAATGGGTATGGCGAGTTCTCGATCGAGGCTTGTGAAATTGCGGCCGAGCTTGCACGTATGTTATACCGAATTGCAACTTCGAGAGAAAGTCAACGAGAACCTCAGAGCGTGATTCACGACAAACTACGTACTGCTACGAGGCTGTTGAGGTCTGCTACGTACATCGCAGAAAGCTTGTTAGGCGCTAATGATCGACGATCACGGAAGCTTCGCAAAGATGCGAATGAAATCGAATCGACGATGCGATCAAGTCTTGTAGGGGAGCAAGAAGATGGCGGGGGACACGAATGGCTCACGATCTAGGAGAAAACACGTACATTATGAATCATTACTCCCATAATAGTGCTTACCTTGTCTTATGTGCTGAGTGAGAGCAATAGAGCTGTGCCACGCTTTGTCCAGAGATCAGGAGTCTTGCCGGGTCCTACCTTGAGATCCACAGCAATCATGAACGACGGACGCTCGCGTGTTCCGGTACGCAACGGGTACATATACAGAGGGCAGCTGTACAAACCCTTGGCTGACTTCTTCTTGGCCTCCACCGGACGGAAGTGTAGGATCGGCATTGCACAATGTAGCTCCATGGGGTGAGGTTCAGCGAGGCAATCGTGATCGAAGTCCCAGCGAGCACCTTCTAGGATCAGTCCTTTAATGTAAGCACCGTCTTTGGGGCCTGTAGGCAGCGCATTCTCGCCTTGGTTCAGTACTATGAACTCCCAGTTCAGCGAGTCAATCGCCAACCCGTTCTTACGAGCTGCAGTCTGCAGGAGAGCCGTGAGGAAGCCTGTCGGGTAAGTGAAGCCTGTGAGCCAGAAAACAGCAGGATGCGCTTGGTTGGCCCATCGATCCATTTGTTCGCAGCGGAGTTTCAGGTCTTGAGTCCATGGACCCAACGGCTTGAGTGACGGGTAACAAAAGCTCCAGGCCTTAGGGACTGCGCCAATCAGCAACGCATTGTAGACAGCTTCGAGTTCTGGAGTAATAACAACAGAGCCTTGAATACCTTTCTCCAACGCTCGAGCCGAAGAGTTGATAGTTGCCAGCAGCTTGTTGTATCGCTCAAGCTCCTGCATGAGCACAGTCTTAAGGGCGTCAGGATCACTCCGTGCGCTAAGACCGGCCTTGATATTCGCCAGATCAAACACGTCAGGTACAGTTTCTCGTAGTGTCTGCAAAAGTCCCAACACCGTGTCGTCGTTGCCACTGCCACCTTCAGCAACGTCTAGCGCCTGTAGTGACAGAATCGTAGCTAAAAGTTCTCGTCCATCATCGATCTGAGAGGCGATCTGAGCGTTCGGATGCTGACCAAAAGCAGCAGGAGGGTCATCCAGCGGCAGTTGTCGAATATACTCGGTGTAGGAGGATAAATCGCCATCATCTGGGACGAAGTAGTACTCAGAGTCGGACAGCGGCATATTGTCCACAGTGAGTACGTTCTCACAGAAGAACTGCGAGATATACACGAGCATAAGACGACGGTCCCAGTCGTCTGTCACGCGACCGCCGTAGTTGGCCTGAGCGATGAGGTACTTGAGTGCATCCCAGGGCGTATCTTCGTACTCATCCAGATAAATCGCCAGCACGTCTTCACTGATAGCGAAGTCGGACTCGTTGAAGTCGTACGGGATATTCCAGCCCAGATTGTTAAATTTCCGCCGTTCGAGCAGTAACGAGTGGAACCAGCACAAGCAGAACAGCAGTCGCTTGTACTTCTTCACCTGTCGACACCTCGTGAACTTCTCAGGCGTGATAGTGTTGTACAAGCGTATCAAGTTGGCCTTCAGTCCACGTGGTGGCTCCGTCGTCATCTTGATGCCACGCTGTAAAATTGCGATGGGGAATTTCGGATTCGGACTACTTGTGAGCCACAATCGGAACTGCGGGTTAACGGATCCTGCAGGAGCTGGCGCAGCGGCACAGAAGTTGTCAATGAGCTTCTCTAACGTCGGTGCCCAGCTGAGCATCAAGTGACAATTGGCGAGGAAAACCCAGTTGCCAGCGTCCAACCCACGAGCTAGCATGGCCTCAGCTACACTGGCTTGACCTTGTCCAAGAGCGCAGTTCTCCACCGTCTTGTGCAGTGACTCAGCTAACGCGATGAGCGAATTGGTTGGATCCACGCCTGGAGACAGCACGAAGATAAGTGGCGTCTTGTAGTTGGACGTATCGTAGATAGCCTTAAGATCAAACGGGGGTGGATCCACAAACTGGGCTCCAAGATGTGTAGCCGTAAACCGAGCAGCCTGGATACTCAGACGATCAGGACGAACACAGCGCAGCAGTAACATTCTCTGCAACTCATTGCATTTGCCCTCCCAATCTCCAGGCAAAGCCTCGATTTCCGGCGTGCTACTCTGATACCATGCCTTCCATCCTTTCAGCGTCTGCTCAAATGAGCTGATGATACCGTGGAAAGCAGACAGCTTGTTCAGCTCCACAATGCTCGCCCATGAACCATCGGAGAGGAACTCATTTGCAACATTAGGAACCTTTTCTTCCTGTGCAAGTACGTTTCCACCTTTCAGCAAAAAATCGTACTCATCGTGAGGGAGTTTGTTGATGCTCTGGAGAACACGTGCACACATTTGCAACGAAAAGAGGAGCTTGTGACGCTCGAATAGTCCACGACAGGCGTAGGCGTAGACCGCGTACGTGTGGTAGTCGTTGATGGCGTTAATTCGCTCGGTGAGCTCTTCGCTAAGTGCCCCTTGGTTCTTGAGACTTCGACTCTTGACGATGGAGTCCTGAAACAGTGCAACATATGCATCCAGCGAGAACTGGTACATGGGGTCGACGCTAGTCATGTCGTTCAGCACGAAATAAAGTGTCGATGAACGCAGAGCAACACGTGCGTATCCCATTCGGGCTGCGTCGATCTTCTTTTCGGTCTCTTCACTGATAACGAGCTGCATAGAAACCTCCTCGGATGTTGTCTTGGAAGCATTCAACGTCGTCACAAGCTGCTCATCGTCCAGAAGCGATCCTTTCGCGGCTGAGAGAAGACGCAGGATTTCGTTCTCAAGATCAATGAGCTTTTTCTTCGCTGCCGCCACTCGCATGACGAGATCCGACTTCTGTTCCTCCAGGGCTGGTTCTTCCAGCTGAACAGCAATACCAAGCAGTTGAGCCTCCAGTCCCTGTTCCTTTACGACAAAGTTCACAATCGTCGTCTTCGTCGAAACCTCTGGTGTGTAGTGAGGATTGTGCAGCTTCGTCGTGAGGTAGAAACGAAATTCTCGATTATAGTCCAGCTCCTTATCACCAAGTCGAAGTACCTCGCGGTTTCCGACCTTGATGATACTCTTGGTAAGCACCGGCTCCAGACTAGGGTCCAGATCCTCCAGAATATCCTGCATCAACACGGGTGAGCCGAAGCGAATTCCATTCTCCAGTTTCCGAAGCAGATCTTTCATCATGGGATCAACCACTTCCAGACGCGTTCCTTCCATTGCCTTGATCCATTTGTTCGCCTGACCTTGAGGATCAATCATCAGTGGCCATCGCTTGCCACGCGTTGTGATCACGCCGTTTTCAGTGGAAAGCGGGTCGCGTGGAAGACCGTGAGCATTCCAGCTCCGCACATCAGTCGGGTCTGCTAAGAAATCGATGAACGTGAACTTAGGGGACAACGGTAAAGCTTGCTGAGTCACACGGTTCATCCACGTATCCACGAGCGACCCACGATAGAACGTATCGAACGGCCCAGCGTACGATATAAATGCTGCAGCCACAAGCGCGTCCCCCACGACGTTCTGAAGACTTGCGTTCTTGTCAGCAATGGAGGCTTCCCAACGTTCGCGCTCCCCAGCCAGTCCCTTAACCAGTTGCTCAGCACGAGAGAGCTTCAATTCCAGCAACTCAGCCTCTTCACGTAGTGCATTTTTCTCCGACACGCTGGTATCGTACTGGTTCTTCAGAGCCTCAACTTTCTCCGTGACCTCCTGGAGCTTCTCCTTCGCAACCTGAAGATCCTTCTGCTTGATGGCGAGTGCCTGTTGTGATTTCCGCAGTACTTCTTTCTTAGGAGCTACGACACGGAAGACGCCAGCGTAGCATTCCATCGCCAATACCCACGAGCATAGAGCTCCAGCTGCTGACGACACTTTTCTCACTACATCAGCGTTAAACGTTGGCTTGGACGTGTATTTCTTGAGAGCTGTCACCGTCTTGTCACGGATTGAATCTTTGTCGAACGTCTTGATCTGCTGCAGGAAGCTCACGTCATTCATTTTTGTCTTGGCTGAAGCCCACGTAGGTGGCAATCCGAAGAGGATCATCACTGCACACATGACCATGGACACTGCTTCGGGCGGCTGAGTGTACACTTTGACCTCTGCAATAGCCTTCTTGTCAAGGTTTTCCACTTCTTGCATAGCGCGTTGCAGTGCAGGAAGCGCCTCGTCTAAGTCTTTTTGTGCGTCGTCGGCGATCTTCTTGGTTTCAGCCTCTTCCTTGCCGATACGCTCGCTGTCCGCTTCGACCTGTTTGCGCTGCTCGTCAGCCACACGACGTTCAGACACGATAACCACCAGCAAGTCGCTGCAGTCCTTATTCTTCTGAGCCACCACAATCTTGCGCTGTTCAAGTTGTTTGGACATCTCTTCCACTTGCAACCGAGACTCTTCCAGCTTCGCCAGACCGTTTTTGAGCTTGTCGCGAGTATCGCGGATAGTTGCTGCTTTCTCCGATAGCAGCTCCACATATCCAGTGACTAGCGACAAGTAGTTGGTAGGCGTCACGTAATTGTGGCGCTTCATACGGGCCAGCACTTGGGAAGATGCCAGCATAACGCTACTGTGAACCACAGCGAACACAGCTGCAATCTTCGGCCTTTGAGTTTCTACCGCAACGTTTTTCTCCTCAAGGAACTTCATCCCAACTTCTTGAAGAGCATCCAGTGGCCACTCATTGAACCAGTCGATGTTGGTGTTGTTAACGAGCGACGGGAACTGACGACAGCGATTGCAAAAGCCTTTTCCGATGGGACTGAACGCTAACACAACGTGGAGATTGCGACGAACCTCGCTGATGAAGAAGTTCCAGAGAGATTCCTTGGTTTCTCGTATACCCTGAGCACGTGCGCGCAGCCGAACCCCATCCAAGATACCTGCTTGTTCGTCCTTTTCGAAGAGTCCGGGAATCTCGCCGCTACTCAGGATATTGTTGAGGTCTTCGACAAATGACTCGCTTTTGATTTGCGTGTCGCTGAACAGGAAGACCGTCTTCTGTTGCTGTAGCCCCACTTGAGTGTACAGCTTCTTAATGTCTTCGTGGAATTCAAAGCTGCGGTAGTTTTTGCCTACTTCGATCTGGAACACCTTGAAGCCACCCATAAACGCTGCAAGCTTCGTCAATGACTGTCGACCACTGCCTCCAACACCAACAAGAAGGAGGTTCCCACGCATCGTCATGAGCTGGCGGTGAATGCGTAGGATGTGCATGAGTGCATCGCTGAACATGACTAGATTCATGGGCACAAACCCTGGTTCAGCGTTATGATTCTCCAGCTGCTCTTCCACGAAATTCTTCAGCATCTTCATGTCCATCACTTCCGCGTACCGTGCACTGCCTTCATCAGAGCCTGGAGTGGTGGAGAAAATGTACGTGAACAGAGGTCCATTTTCCTTGAGTTGTTCAGGAGCTGAAGACAATAACCGGCTCCAGTCAGTCTGAAAGTGCACACCAAGCAGATCATCCAGCTTCTTCTTGAACGATTGCCGATCTTCATAACTTGTGAGACGATCAGAGAATACTCGAAGACTTTCGTGCATCCAGAGCCGCAGCATACCGTCACGACTCGCTACCGTGTGCTTGTCAGATAGCAAGAGGCCTTGGATCACTCGAGCCATATCGCGCAAGTTGAACAGGTAATGGCAGTTCGCTGGAGTCGGTAAGAATTGTTCCAATACATTCTGATACAGTTGGATGGTCGCAGCGACCAGAGGAACACCTAGAGGCTTGATTTCATCGTCAAACTCGGCAAGCTTGGGCACGAGCATGGTCTCGAATATACGCTTCAGCTGAGCTTGTTCGGGGATCGTCATGTTGATCAGATTGAATCGACTTTGGAAGCGCGAACTGATGACCGATCGGCCACCGCCTGGAGGTCCCATCGCAGCAACGAACTGCATGTCGATGAAGTACTTGAGTGTCTGTTTCTTGCGGTCATACCAGCAGCTGTAGTCGACCCATTGTCGCAGTAATTCCAGTGGAGGCTGAGATCCAAACAAGTCCTTCGTCGGCATGTTCATGTCGTCGATGAATGTAACCAGCTTCCTACCACCGACAGGGCCGAATCGATTCAATGAGCGCTTCTCCATTACGTTTTCGATCATATCCTGCGTTGTTGCAGACGACGTGGCAGACGAGAAGTTCATCACGAGCACATTATACGCGTCGCTGAGCGCCTCAATTTCTCGTTCAATGACAGTCGTCTTTCCCACGCCAGTCTCACCGACCAGGAGAGTGTGGATGCCTGCCGTGAGCATAGTCTGGAGCAGATAACCGTATCTCAATGTGTCAATCGTGGGCACCATAATCTTGTGGAACGGGGTGTTTGGAGCGATACGGAAGTTCGGCGGCAGCTTCTCATCCCAAAGCTTAAATTCACGACTCGACGGCTCGACGAAGAAGTCATAAGCAGTTTTGAGAGGAGGATAAACAGAGTCGATGTCACGCAGGAAGAAGTCGAACTTCTTGCGCCCTTCCTCGTTCGCAGCGGCCATCACACTCCACGTCATGCAAAACAGGAACCACTTCTCAACTGTGACAGCGAATTTGTCTCCACACGCAGCCAAATCCACGCCATTTTCAGCTGTACCGAGCGCGTTGTACAGGTTACAGAAGGACTTGACACAGTTAAACGTCGTCACCGGGATGAGTTCTGTCACCTCGAAAGTCTTAAATCGCAGCACCTTCTCCATGTACTTATCGAACAGTGCTTGAAGCACGTCGCGTTCCTCTTGGATGCTAATGGTCGTAGTCAGCCACGTCTGGATAAAAGGTCGCCAACCAAGGTCTTCAACATCCATGTAAACCATACCGGCACGACTGACGGTAGCTGGAGAAGCCACTGCTAGATCCTGGACCTCGAACATGAGAGCCATCGAAGGGCTCATACTGATCCGATCACCGTTGATCAACGTAAGTACTTTGTTGTCATCCATCACACTGTTCATACTTTCAATCCACAACGTATCAACCGGTCCATCGAGCATAATCCATTTCTCTTCTGCTTTCTCATCCGCTGCCAAATTTCTGAAGATAGCGGATAGAATACCGTCGATCCACTCGAACGTTGCGAGGTCGTACACGCCGTAAATCTCGTTCAAAGAGATAGACTTGGGGTTCAGCACCTGTACACGAACAGGCATGTATCCGGGAACCCCGTCTTTCGCTAGCGATGTCTTGGCAGCCATAAGAGTCTTCCAGATCGTCGTCTTTCCCGCCATGGTCTGACCTACGATCATATTACAGTGGCGAGTCACCTGAGACTCGTACAACTGGATCGTCTTGAATACAATCACCGGATGCACTTGAAGTTTGGTCTCTAGCAAGGCCTGTTCGATGTTGCCTTGTAGTTTGCCGTAGTCTGTTACAGGGAGTTCAATGGACGGAAACAAATCTCCCAGTAACAAGCGGAAGAGCACTGCGTCTTCCCGAATGAACTTGGGCATATTCATGTCCCGCAGTGCACGCAGTAAAATGTTCTCCTCCTGCAAGTTCGGGTCCTCGCGTTTCAGAGTGCCTGCCATGTTCAGCACAGCCTTCAAACTACGCAGTCCAAAGTCATAGTGATCCTGCTTGCTCAACTGCTGGATCATCAGTCCATACAAGGTCGTCGTCTTCTTCGCCAGAACTTTAGCATCACGAAATCCTTCAGCTTGGAGCATAACCTCAGCAATTAGAGCCAGATCAGGTACCATCATGGCACACGGGCGCATCAGAGCCTTGAGATTGTCTGGAAGCTCAGTACGTCCAGCATAGCCCGGATTCATCGTAATGAAGATACCCATGTTGAAATTGACGCGCATCATTGAGCCAAGGAACATAACCTGCGTACTTCTGGCTGTGAGAGCCTGCATGATGGTCAAGACCTGCTGTGCCACGACAGAGAGCACCTCGATCTCGATACGGTTGAACTCATCGAAACATCCCCAGCCGCCAGACTGGACAAGGCCAGCAAACATACGTCCAACCGATTTGTAGTCCAAACCATCACTGCAGTTGAAGACGATAACGTACTTCGCTAGATTCTTGCCCAAGTCTTTCACCGTCTCAGTTTTACCCGTTCCGGCTGGACCCAGCGGGTTGCCACCTCTGTTAAGATGTAGCGCTGTGGTCATGGTAAGAACACAGCGATCCGTCAGCGGGGTGATCACCAGACGTCCGTTGTTGCCCTGGTATTCGTACGAGTACTGCAACGAAGTGACTGTCTGCTTGACCTCACAAATGCCGGATTCGCCTAAATCCTTGTTAAAGTAGAAGCGTAGCTGCATCAACCAGTCAAAGTCATTCACACTCTTGCAGTTCTGCTTGACCAGACGATCGATGACATCTCGCGAGTGGATCTCCGTTGTGATAACAGCGACGACTTTACGGCGGTCAGTCGCTGAAAGCTGGCCACGCACCATGTCTGCGAGCTTGTTCAAGTAGGAAATCCACTTCTTCTTCAGCTGCCTCAGCGCTTTCTTCTCTCCTTTAGCCACCTCATTGAGTGCCTTGATGCACTCATTCGTCCAGGCGGTTTGGCCACACGTGATCAACAGCTGACCTGGGAAATCCTTAATCCACTTCTCCTTCTTGCCTTTGTAACCAACGATACATTGTGCAAAAATCTTCTCCAACGTATTGACCATGGCGGCCTCAATCCGCAGTAGCCACCCTTCCACTGCTCCAGCAACAACCACATTCGACGCAAACACCACTTGCTCGCCGCACGGTGAGTTCATCCCCAGAGCCTCGAACGTTGTGTTTCCACGCGCACCAGGAGGGATCAGGTTCAGGGTCTTGATTGCTTCAAAGCACTTCTTAATATGTTTCTGCACTTGATCTGGATCCTTCTGGTGGCCTAGAATCTCAAGCAAGTCATCATTTGACAAGAAATAGAACCGTGGGAACAGCATTCTCTTCGTCTCCAGATATTGATCCAGACACTTCTGAATCTGATCCAGCTTCTCTTGCATAGTGACCAACGTCTCCAGTACCCCCGCTTCCTGCGTAGCTTGCAGTGCGTTCTTTGTCTTGGCCATCCCTTCTGTTACTTTGCAGTAAGCAGCGTTAACCTCATCAAAGAGCTGACTTTCCAACGGCAGCTGCTTACGGATATCCTCAGACGCCATGAAGATACTTTCCAAATAAATCCAACAGCGCTGCACACCAAGTAGCGTCTCGATCACGTCGGATAAGTGAGAAAGAGCCTTCTCCCAGTACAGAATCCGCGTATCGAAAGATCCGAAGAACGGCGAGGCCTTCATGGTGGACAGCTGCACTTGATCATCCTCCAGAGCGGTGAACAAGTCGTCTGCAGATCGGATTTTATAGTATACGCCCTTGTATTCTGTGATGTCGACGTCAATCGTAGCCCAGCGCTTCTCGATCGCGTCAAGGGTTTGCTCGATCGACAACTCTTTCCCAGCATTACTTGACAGCGTGCTAATAAATTCCGCATGTAAATGAAATCCAAGTGAAAATACTCGCTCCAGCGTGAAACTGGTAGATTCTGTGTCGAATGTCTTTCCCATCTCCTCCTTCAGCTGTGCCCAGTGACGTGCTCGAAGCGCAGGACTCTTGAGATCTTGAATTAGTGGTAACGTCTGTCTAAACTGCTCGATTTTGGTCTTCATAGAGCTCCATACGGCCCAGTTTTTCATGTCCTTCCCGTATTTGACCACTTTCTTGAAGAACTGAGCAGCAGTTGACTCCATCGTGTCCACTTCAATCTCGTAGAACACCTTATTCTTCCACGAAGCCCACACGACTTCCCACTCATCGGTAAGAGCCCAAATCTGCTGAAGTAGCTCAAGTTCCTTCTCGGTTTGCACAAATCCGTCGTTCTTGGATTCGTCGATGCCAAAAATCTCCAGTCCTTTCTTCAGCGCGTTCTGGCGAGAGCGTGTGGCCTCCATTTTCTTCTCGAAATCAGCGAGAATCTGATGCGCGATTTTAGATTGTTGTTCACCGGAATATGGTAGTGTCGCCTCTGCTTCAGTGCGTAGTTCCGACATGATGTTGTTCAGGTCAGCCACAGAATCCTGCAAACTCTGCTTCATGCTGACTTTGCACTTTTGCAGCATCGTGTTCGCGTCCACCAGCATCGCCTCGTACGTTTCCCAGTTGGCTTTCAGATTGGCGAGGTCACGCTGCTCCTCGTCTGTTGTCTGCACGTCGAATTCAGCCAGCAGATCGTACTTGTGTTGCAAAGGCTCAAAGCGAGCCACAACTCCTGGCATTCCCTCTTTGATATCTTGTAGAAGATGGATACTCTCGCTCAGATGATCCAGATTTAGTGGCTTGATCTGTAGTTTCTGAGTGTTGTCCTTCATCATATTCATGAGCTCTTTCAACTCCCCATGTGCTGTCTGGTTCAGCAGACCCGTGAGCTTGCCGATCCACTGCACCGTATGCTCCACTAGAGACGCCTTGAGAAAGTTGGTATCAATCTGGATGAAGTTAATCGTGTTGGTCAGATCTTCGTTCTGAATACTAACTTGCTGTTCTCGATAACGCTCAATGTCTGCGCGGAACTGCTGCAGCGGTCTGTTTGCCTTGGCATAACGACGAATGAAGGCTTGCTTGTCTTGGTTCCACACCAGTTTGTACTTGTCCCAATAGCCCAAGTACTTCTGCAACTCGGTCGCGCTAGACGACATACCGTTCATGATATGCACGAGTACCTTCAGAATCTCCTCATCGTTGAAAATGGACTGATAGAAGTTGTTCACAACCGGTGGGGCGTCCGCCTTGTCCGGTGTATCAACGGTTGAAAGTGTCTCGTCCTGATTACCGGTAGGTTCTCCACTTGTCGTGGCTGGTGCACGCACCTCCTCTCCGCCCTTTGAATCATTTTTTCCGTCTGCAGGAGCATCGCTGGTGGTTGAGTTGTCTGCATTGACTTGGTTGTTGCTGTGCTGTTGCGGGAGCGATGCGACCAAGCGAGGCACGACAGAAATGACGTTGAAAATCTCCTTGGCCACTGTATTTACCATGAGTGTGAGGTCAGCCATGAACGGCTTGAACTCCACCTTGTTGTCTTCAAGCACAACATGGATCCGAAACAGGGGCCGCGGGTCAGTCTTGGCATCGCCATTGATGGCTTTCGACAGCTCTTGAAGCGACTTCTTCACAGACTGACGGAGTGCATCTTCCAGCATTTTATCCGAGCGCTCCACAAAACGATTCCATTCTCGCTGTACCTCAGGAGGACCCGAAGCAAAGTGTTCGTAGCTCGCTGTCATCGTCGAGCTAATCGTTTGGTACGCCTCGCGCAGCTGCTTCTCGATAGTCTTGCGATGAATCACCTGCTTCGCTTCGAACACGCCGTCGTCGTAGATAGTGTTGCGCTCGATGAAGATGTGCATTAAGCCGCTGATCATCTTGCAGTTCTTCATCACAATATCCTTGTTCTCCTGGAATTCCTGGACAATCTTGTACGTCGTCTCACAGTGTTTACGGCAGTCTGCAACATACCACTCGACGATTCCTTTGGAGACCCACGTGAGCTTTTGAAGCCCTGGTTGGATCCGGCGATCTAGCTTGCGAATGATATCTTCAAACAACCGTCGCTCTGTTGAAGACAAGTCCAGCAAAATGCGATTATAGTCGCGAACTACCAGCATGACATGTTCACGCAGCACCCGCAGCTGCTCTTTCTGGTTGCAAATATCGTGGGCCATGTATGGGATCTGGATTTCGCCGTTGAAATACTGCCAGTAATGAACCTCCGCGAACAAGTTAAGCAACGGACGGTCGAAGTTGCAGTGGAGAAAACCTTTCTTAGCCCGTCCGATCAGCGTCTTCTCTGTGTTTTGAAGTGCGTTAGTGTCCTTGTTGTGGGAGTTCAGGTTTACGCTAGCAGGCACGGCGTCAGAGTCTGCCCCAGTCTTCGTCATCAACGGGTTTTCCAATCGTGAATTCATATTTGTGTTGCCCAGAGTATTCAAGTCTTCGATCCAGTCGTGGTATTTGCGCTGGATGTACTCGTTGATGACCAACCGCAAGCCATCATAGGCGTTCTGTGCCTCGTCACACTCGGCTGCGTTGGAGGGGTCGACTAATTCTTGCAGACGCACAAGGTCGTCTGTTGCACGCAGTAGCAGGCTGCGTGCCCATAGTGCTGCACCTGCAAACTGAGGCTCAGTGGGCGATAGCAGCGGAGCGTGCTTGTTCTTCTCAAACAGATTTCGAATTGACGCGATATTCGCCTTAAACATTCCAAAAATGTCGATCGTACGCTTCTCCACACAGCGTTTGATAGCCTCGCGCTGAGCGATTTTTTGGAAAGACCCAATCATGTCCACACCGGCGGCGACTGTGGATACGCTCTCGAAGGCTCCGTTGATAACGTTCTGGGTCATAGCCTCAAGATCTTTCATTCCATTCTTGAACGAGTTGAAGTCGCTGTGCCAACTGGTGTTCTTGACGTCTAGGATATCATAGTCCAGTTGGCGCAACCGCTCAACGTGACCCTCAAACTGCGCTTCAATACCCCGTAAACTCTTCACTATGTCCATGCCACGATTGCCTCCGAATGTAGGAAGATCTTCGCGCTTTCCATCTTTACCCTTACGTGCAAACTGGATCTGACCTTCGCACACTTCCAACAATTCTCTGCAACGCTGTACAAACGCGTCTATCTGTGCGAAAATGCCCGTTTCATCAAAATTCCACCGACGGTCAGGTGATGGGGCCGTAGTGTTCACAGCATGGGAGGCTTTGCGGTAGATCTGCTTCCACGATACTCCACACTGAATACTCTGCTCGAGATGGCGGACGCTAGCCTCGACATTACCATCGAACACGTCCGGCAGCGAAATCTTCTTGCAACAGACGATGATAATCTCATTGCTCACCTTGCGTAACAAGCTCGTGATTCGGTCCTCCGTGTTGTAGTGACGCGAGTACATCCATATAAGCCGAATAAAGTTAAGAAGCTTCGGCAGTAGTAACGGGATCTCATCAGGCTGCGCACGTGCGATATCTTCACACACAGGGCTGAGTTTCTGCAGGAAGCGAAGATTGTCGTTAGCCTCGGTGGATCCTTGTTTAATGATCTGTGACAACGTCTCAAAAGGCTGCAAGTACGACGACTTGGCAGCTCGTAAGATCTCTACGATCTCCTTGACTCCATCGCGATTTAACTGGTCAGTAATGCCCGAAAGATCTTGGGTCCGATGCTCCCAGAACTTGATCTCCTCAAGCGGACCTGCTCCTTCTGCGTCGTGTGCGTTGTCCTGGTTATTGATTACTTCTTTGATCTGCCGTGTCCAGTGGATCACTGTGGACTCCAACTGCTGCACGAGGTCTTTGTCCTTGTAGTTGAACTTGTCCGGATTAACTGGCGGCAGATAGAGCACGGTCTTGCCGCAGCCGCGACTCACGGTCTCTGTGAGGCTCGACATGAAGCGGAAGAACTGGCCCGTGAACTCCTTCTGCACACTCTCGGGCCACGACTTGTTGGCCTGCAGTCTCTGCAGATAGTAACCGTTCATAAGGTGCAGTAGCGACGAGATGGCATCCTTCTCGACCGTCCCGTACTGCAGCGCGTCTTTGATATTAGCGGGCGTCACGAGTGTCTGTCCATTTTTGACAAAGTACATGACGCTGCTGAAATGTCGCGGGGCCGTCGTCATGACTACGAGCGAGTCATTCTGCACGGTCAGGAACAGCGCAGGCACGCCTGTGCTCTCTGCGAACTCCTTGACTGTCGCCAGATCCGCGGACGTCCATGCCTTGGGTTGATACCCGGGCAACGTGATACGATCGCGGATCCACTGCGCGATGAGCTCTACGTCCTCGAACGAGCTCATGGTGTCGTGTAGTGTGGCTGGATCCGAGGGTCGCGACGGCTCAAACTCTGCAAGATGCGAAAAACCGATTTAGCAGACAGCGAATGATGGTCACAGCTCGCCATGGAACATGGCATTTACATGCACTTCATGTTGGCTAGCTAAGGGTGCGGCTTGCACCCTTCGGTCATCGAGATAGGAGCGTTGAGGTGTGCTTGAAGGCGTCTCTCGTATTCCGCGCGCATGTTCTCGCGGTTGTTCTGTAAACGTATAAGTACCATATAAATGGTACAGCCTGTCTCATTTTTGACATTCTGGAACTCATAGCGTTGCGACCCCCTGCGCATCGCGTGCTCAATTGCGTCGCCCCCTGCATCTATCCCCGCTGTCATGGCGAAGTCTTCGCCGAGCGAGAAGCGCCAGGAGGAGCGGCTGATCCAGGAGCTGCGCGATTTCCAGCGCTCCAACCCGTCCAATAAGCGCTGCTTCGACTGCAATGAGATGGTAGGCGCCGGCTTCATTGCCGAGCTCGACTGGACGTGCTGACGCTGTAAATGCTACCAGATGCCCCAATACGTCTGCCTGGATTTCAACACCTTCGTCTGCACTGCCTGCAGTGGCATCCAGTAAGGGAACGCATTGTTGCATTAATTATCGGCTTTTATTAACCAATTCTGCTGCGGCTGCTGTTGGCAGCCGCGAGTTCGCCCATCGAGTCAAGTCCATTTCCATGTCAAAATTCACCGAGAGCGAGGTCAAGAACATGATCAACCAGGGCGGTAACGAGGCAGCGCAGAAGTATTGGCGCAACAAGCACGACCCGAGCTTCCGTCCGAACGGAGGCAGTGACGGCGAGCGCACGCGGAACTTTATTCGTTTGACGTACATCGATCGCAAGTATGACGAGCGCTGGTTTCTAGTAGAGCGCTAAAGAAACGCAACTAATCTCTTGTGGCACTTTAGGTGGGTGTATGAATCGCCGCGTCATTCCAAGGATGAAGAACCAGAGCGAGCGTCGTCGGTGAGTATTTTTGTTCTACTCGTGTGACAGGGTACTGTTTGCTAACGTTGCGAGCGGCTTGTGGCACTCAGAAAAGCACCAAGAAGAAGGAGAAAAAAGCTGATAGCGACGACGACTTCTTTTCTTCCAGCTCGAAGACAGCCAAGCCGACTACCGACAGTGGATTTGCAGATTTTTCCAACTTTGAAGGCAGCAGCAGAACTGCGGCTGCTGTGGCACAGTCATTTGGGGATTTCAGCAGCTTCGATAGCCCAGCTCCTACACAGAAGCCCGATGACGGGTTTGCAGCTTTTGGCGACTTCTCAGGGTGCAGCAGTACAGCGCAGAAGGCAACACCGAAGGCAGCGTCACGCCCGCCAGCCCCGAAGTTTGATTCCTTCAAGATTGCACCGCCTCCCGGATCGCACTTCTCTGCTGCCAGTGTTACTTCACCCCCTGCTACGAATGATCTCATGGGTCTTAGCCCACCGAAAAAAGCAGATGACGACCTGTTCGGCTTTGACGCTCCAGCAGCAGCGTCCGGAACTCCGAGCAACGCCGCTCCTGCAGCTTCTTCCCCGTTTAACGCCTTCGATGCCCCTACACCGACCAACCGAGCAGGTAGCCGCGCCAACTCAGTGGCATCTCTCGACCCTTTCAGCGATATGACTGCAGCAGCCCCGTCGGCACCAGCGCCAATTAAGCAGAATTCTTCGCCATTTGATGCATTCAGCTCTCCGAGTGCGGCGTCTCCTTCATCGATCGACGCTTTTGCTGCCCCATCGCCTGCATCCACCACCGGTAGCAACGTGTTCGATGTGCTCGGTGGGAGTAAGGACCCGTTCGCGGATTTCACGGGCTCCACTAGCTCGTCAAGAACAAACTCAGCCAATCCTGTTCTGGATCCGTTTGCCAATCAACCCGAGAAACCTACAGCTGCTGCCGCTGATCCATTCGCAGCTTTCGAAGGTATGCAGTCGAGCAGTGCAGCTCCGCCCCCATCTAGTTGTGCTCCTACACCTGACTTCAGCTTTCCGAGTGGCAACAACGTAAACCAACAGCAAGCTGCGATGAACGATCCGTTCGATTTTGCAAGCGGGACGAGTAACACTAACAGCGGATTCCCGGCACAGCCTGCTCATACTGCGACAAACCAGGGATTCGGCGGCTTTCCTGGTGGCTTCCCGCAGCAGCAGCAGAATGCGTTTGGAGGCCAAATGCAACAGCCGATGCAGCCATTCCACCAAGGACAACCGCCACAAAACCAGCAACAATGGCACGGCCAGCAACAGGGATTTCCCGGACAACAGCCAATGCACCCGACAGGACTCCACCACTACCCTGGACAGTTTCCCCCTCGCCCGACCGGTGGTGCCCCACCTGCACCGATCCCAGTAAAGGTACGGATATTATGGAGAATGATTTCCTTACTTTACTAACTGTACTATCGGTCGTTCTGTTTGGTGTGTAGACTCCGGCATCAGTAGCTTCGATCAACGACCCGTTTGCTTCGTTAAATCTCGGCAACCTGGGATTCGGTAGTTCACACAGCAACACCAGCGCGGCTCGTACAGGCTCAGGAGGAGCAAACAGTTCGGCACCACCTAACAGAGCTGGCTCGACTAACTCTTTCGGGAACGCTCCAGCGGCGCCGATGGGTTCGGGATCATTCAACTATGCACAGTAAGATGCTTTGCTTCAACGTACCCGTCGCCGATATTAACTCTTGGTGTCATGTTACAGACCACAAGGTCGAGCGACTTCCTCGTTCACGCAACACTCGCAGAATACCTCCGGGTTTGCCGATCCGAACGCGTACGTGTCTCTACCGTTGCTTGGGTCGTGGCCATTGCTCGTGTTAACTGTCTTATGTATTCCTTGTTGCCATGTAGGTTTGGCGACTTCGCCAGCGCACCAGCTCCGGCACAGACACCGGCTTCTCCAGCAAACCCGTTTGACTTGTTTTGAGCGATCAGACGCCACCTTGCGAACGCAGCTTTAGGTGGCGATGCAAGGGAGGCAATAGAGTTGAAGATACAGCGAAAAATGCCAAAAGAAGCAGCAAACTCCCCACTTCATAAGTGTAACTCGCTTCCAAAACTCATATTCTAATGCAGGTATTATGCCATGATCGTTCAGCAACATCAGAGGGAAGGACAGAAAACAAGAGGAGGATTTCATGCTAGTCGCAGACCAAAGGAGCAAGTCGCTTGCTGCATGCACTAGAATGTAGCCCATGCAGCAAGAATCTCTACGTCCCTCTTTGCATTGCGTAACACAAAATCCGCCCGGACCGAAGAAAGCAGCAAAATTAGCTGCGATCAACCCAGTGACGGCAAAAGAGCACGATCGGTTCTATTCAGTACCGGTTACGAACTCTCTCCTAGCAGCGGTTAATACCCCAGTAGCAAGCAGGAAGCTTATTCCTCCTCGATCTCGATGTTGGTCTTCTCGGACACGTAGATACCGTCAAGGAACTTACGGATATCCTTGCGACGCACCAAGCAGGCCTGCGTGATGTTGGCGGCGTCCTGCGACACCTTCTGGAGGTCAATGCCGCTCAGCTCGATCTGGTCCTTGACGTCGCCCGTGCGCACGTACGAGACGCCCTCGGACAGAGCAACGCGACGTACGCGCTTCTCACCCAGGAAGTTACGGATCTCCACAACGTTGTTCTCGAACGTCACGTTGATGGGGAAGTGGGCGTACACGAAACGCATCTTGTACAGGTAGCCGACACGCACACCCGTGATCATGTTCTCGATCAACGAGCAGACGGTGCGCACGCAGGCGAGCTGCTTACGGTTGCCGAACCACAGGTCCACACGGAGCTGCTCCTTGTTGACACGGCGCATGTCAAGGGTCAGGTGGCGGAAGTCGCGGTTAAGCGTGCCACGCTTGCCGGTCACGGTAACCTTGCGACCGTCAAGGACGACCTTGACGTCATCGGGGATGGTAACGAAGCGGGTAGCCAAAAGCTGACGGGGCATCTTGCTGGAGTCTTGGGGGGAATGCTAGTTCGCAAGTGGTTGGGTCATTATGTATGCGGTGTAGCGCCTTGGCGATTGACTGGCGCAGGTGATTTTGCACTTGGAATTTGTATGGTTTCGAGTTTTAACCAATGGATAATAGATAATATGTGCCACATAAGTGACACACCAGTTGCAGTTTTCGACGAGCTTTTTGAAGCACGAGAGGTGGGGACGTTGGCAGCATGTTCGAGCGCAGTCCGGAGGTGCAGGAGACACTGGGTGAGAGCAGTGATGGCTCCCCGGTTACGAGGATGTAGTAGGTGAGCTGTTGACATTTTGTGGGGTGTTTATTCGTGCAGAAAAGGCCAAGGGAGCCGTCAAGCACATGCTGATCGGTGCCAGTATGGCTGGCGCTACAGGGGCCACCTTTGGGGCGGTGCTAGCGGCGCTGCGCAACGAGAGCATCAAATTCTACGCAGCTTCCATGGGATCCAACTTCTTCTTGCTGTCGTCGACGTATATCGGTGAGGAGGCTCCTAACGGATTGATAGATATTTTGTGCTGATGAATGTATTCTTGTTCTGCTCAGCTTTTGAGGAAGTGATTGCGGACAAGAGAGGGGACAAGAAGGACTGGATTACTGGCGCCGCTGCTGGCACAATTACCGGAGGATTCTACGCTGGTTTGGTTGGTAAGATGATGTACTTTAGTGCATGTACTTCGTTGCAATGTTGGATTTCTTCTTCAAGGAGGCGTGCGCTTATTTAAATTTACTGTTTGTTGCTTTGCAATTTCCTTTGGTCAGGTGGTCAGTTCCGAGGGCTTCAGGGTGCGGCTGCTGGTGCCGCAGTCGGCGCTGCGGTGATTTTCGGCCGCGAAGAATTCCACCGGTGGCGATTGTCCAAGGGCGTGCAGCGCTATGAGGCCAAATACGGTGAGGCCCCTGCCGTGTACCACCCAACGACTGCAGTGCTAGTGGAAAGTCAGGGTCCTCCGCGGGAGCTGGTGTTTCCTTCGCTGTTGCCACAGAGTGTCAAGATCTCGGACGAGGAAATCGAGCGGCGTGTTATTGCTCGTATGGACGAGCTCCGGAAGGAGATGCAGCAGGAGGAGGAGGAGACTACCGCAGCCGAAAATGATAAGAATCAGGAAAATAAGGGCTCGGCAAATTGAAGTTGCTATCTCTTCAAACCAAGCAATAAATCAAATCTTTGTTCAGAACTTAAGAAACTGAGCTCGGCCAGATGAAATGGCAGACTCTAATCGGTTCAGTAGCATCTTGGTACAACAAAGCGCTTTTCTACAAAAACAGTTATTTTTTCAAAGAATGATTTTTTTCTGAAGAAAAATGTCCATTTTTGTAATTAATGTTTTTTCGTCTTTCCTTTTTTAGCCAATCCCTTTCCTTCAAAAAACTGTCACAAGTCGCAGACGCCAATTGAACTGCTGGTGCGCATGCCGCGAGCAAAGTCTACGCCGCGCGATGAAGTGCCGGCGCCAGGCTCTGACGACCGCGGGCCAGACATCGTGAACCTTATGGACATCCCTGTGACGTCACCCATCCCGATTTTGCGCCTCAAAACGCTATCGCATCTACGTCGTACCGCTGCGGAACGCAAGCGTTCCAAGAAGACTAGAGAGCTTGAGGAACGTTTAGCGTATGGCAAGGACGAGCTCAAGAGATTGCAGAAGCTGAAGCGCCGACGATCGACCAATGGACTGCCGATCTCCACGACGTCGTTCCCGGATCTAATGGATAATTTGCCACAGCTGCAGGAGATGGACGAGGAGTTCCATGTTGGCAAGAATCTCCGCTTCCCATGCGAATGCCGGTCCTGCAAGCATCTGAAGCGCTGGAGCTCCATTTTGCAGCCCTACCGCTGTACGAGCGCTTCGTGCAAGATCGCATTTGAGTCGTTCACGGACATGTACGAGCACCAGCTCGAGGTGCACGGAGGTCTCGACCCGAGATCTAATCGTGTCGTGAACGACACATTCCGACAGCAACGAGGCATGCTGGCCTACCCACCCCCTACCGTATATGCGGCGCAGCAATTCATGGTTCCTAGTCGCCCACCGACCCCGTGGAAGTCGATGAAAGAGCTGGATGAAGAGGCAAAGATAGTGCGTAAGAAGTTGGTGGACTACAATCAGCAATATGAAACACCCTACAAGTTGTTCGACATGGGATACAAGCTGGTTAAGAAAAACGGATGGAAGGAGGTGCAATGGCAGTACCAAATTGCCATGGAGCACTTTTACTCCGGGTTCAAGTTCCCGGCCTCGAGTCGCAGATTCCGAGACGGCTGCCCATCGGTTGAACGAGGCAGAAATTGGCTGGTACGTGACAGGACAAAGAATGCGGTGATGTTGTTATGAGATGGCGTTTTAGCTCACTTTATGCTCGATTCTGTTGCGGTTGTAGACTTCTACAGACCGGGAAGACGCTCGGGTGCTGCAGCCGTTTAGTCTTGGCGACAAAACCGACGTCGAGCCTGAATTTGTGCTGATTGACACGAAACGCGATCAGGAGATGCAAAAAAAACTCATCGAGTTAAGCGACGACTCTGCTGACGATATTTTACCCACTAGAGGCAGAACTCGCCGCAAAAAGAAGACCTTTAAGAAGGATGACGACGTTGAGATGAAGACACAAGAGGATGATGACGACAGCATTAAACTGAAAGCCTCTGGAGGTGGTGAAGCCAACACCATCAATGAAAGCAAAGTCTTTGAATTCGACAGCGACAGCGACGTATCTGTTAAGTCGGAAGTTAATACCGAGGGCGAGTTGAAATCCTCTCGGACTGCCAACGCTAGAGATAGCGATAGCAGCAGTGACGGCGACAGTGAAGAGGAACTCGAACTGAAAGACTCTAGAGGTGATGACAGCAATAACGACAGCGATAGCGGCAGCGACAGGGACTCCGAGTTGAAATCCACTGGAGCTGCCGGCGCTTGTGACAGCGACCATGGAAAGGAACTCGAAGTCAAAGTCTCAAAAGATAGTGCCGATGAAACCGTAAGTGACACAGAGAGTAGCAATGACGACGAGATCGACGTGAGGGCCTCTAAAGGTGGTAACGATGACTTAGTCAGCGATAGCGATAGCAGCAGTGATGACAAAGTCGAGCTAAACGTCGTTGCAAACACGGTCACTGATAGTGATAACGAGAGCAAAAGTGATATCGACACCGACGATGATCCCAACTTCTCCAAGACCAAGCTTGTTCACGAAGTGACCTCGTCCTCAGAAGACAGCGACAGAGATACCGACGTGGAGACTAATCTCGCTCAAGACGAATCCAGCCAATTCGTCAGCGACACCGACAGCGAAAGGGACGAAGAGCACAAAACCCTCAACTCGCAAGACGACATATTTAATTAACCAGAATAGACAATAGATCCTCCAGTGTCCACCTCCCAGACTCCACGATTTTCTATGTACGCCACATGAACTTCCATCACACGTCGCAGTTTTTATTTAGTCGCTGCAATGGCCACCGATCCTGTAGTGCTGCTGCCGACGAATGTCGAGTCCCGTGAGCGCATTCCTGGCAGCCCGTTAGTCCCGGGAGGTGTCTCGTGGTCCGAAGATGGGCGTCTCGCCGTCGTGTCCGACTCGAGCGTCCTCATCGCCACATTCCGCAGTCGTGAGCTCGAGATGTTCCAGCCCGGTGGCCCCGCTGTCTCCAAAGACTTCGTATTTCTACCAGAACACCCAGTTAACGAGCACGTTCCTGTTGCAATCCCTCCTGTCATCGAATCACTCGACACTGGACTACCACGAGCCAGCACCACGTATTTTTTGCTCAACGAGGGTGACCGTCACCAGCACAACCCCAAGGAGTTATCGTTGTCTAAAAACACAGGCGCTGCGTTCATCGCTGCTGTGTGGGGACCCCGAGGATCGGGTCCGAGCAGCTCTTGCGCCTTGCTAGCGCTAACAGCGTCGTCCAGACTGAGTCTGCACTTCCCACCGAGCTTTCACATGAACTGGAAGGAGGTCGCTGTATTCTCCGAGGATCTCTTCAAGTTCTTCGAGAGCAAGAGCTTCTGGTTAGGACCGTCCCATGATGAGCGACTCAACACTCCACCTCCAAGTACGGCGATGGCTGCGCCGCGAGGAGATAAATCTGGCAAGAAGAACAAGAAAAGGAAGATAGACCCAGAAGACGGATATTTAGCAATGAACTCGGTGGCTGAGTACACGCATCGGTGTGCCATGATGTCGACCTTGACGATGGCTTGGTCACCTTTCATGGTCACAACGGATAAGCAGAGTACGGTGTCGCTTATTGCGTTCTCAGGACGTAAAGTGAGCACCATTTGGGCGTACGCGTACCCTTCGATTGTAGCAGGGCAGCAAGTTGAGCCTTTTCTTTCGCCTGCACCGGTTGCGTGGATCGACACGGAGAAATATGGCTGGGTGTCCACGAGTACGTGGCAACAGATGCATCGACATGGGACGGCATACGCAACGCGAGAGGATCTTGGCTTGGCGTTGGGAACATCGGAAGGTAATGTGTTGATTGCGACAGTTCCTGTAAGGACAAATGCTCTAGATGACTCACCGCAAGAGTTAGCCGTGGATCGCGTTATTGTGGCGCCGCACTCTCAACCAGTTTTCGGATTGTGTATGGGAAGTCGCTGGACGTTCTCGAACAGCCCAACCAATGATCTGATTGTCGCGTCAGGGTCGACGATCTCAGTGTGGAACCTCAAGAAAAAGAAACAAGCACAGCCCAATGCAAAGTGGAAGGCACACGATGGCAACGTGACTGGACTGGACACCAATTACTTTGGTGACACGATTCTTTCAGCTGCTGTGGACGGAACGATAAAATTATGGGAGAAGACAACAGGTAAATTGTTGCACTCCAGTGACGCCTCTCTAACCAATTCAGGAGACGAAAACTCTGAAAACACAGCGACCGCAGCATCGACTACTAGTAAACACCCAGTGTTTGGACTGGCCATGTCGCCCAGCTCTGCTCAGTTGGCATGCGTGTTTATCATTCCTCCTGCCTCTAGACCCAACCGAAAGTCACAGGCTGACGTCTCATACAGTCGAGTGTCGAGCTCTCTCGAGTACATTCCGTCGCCGTGGATAAAGAACTCGGATCAGCTTGTCGACGTCGTGTGTAGAATTCTAGACGAGAGTCAGTCGGTGAGCAGCTTCATGGATGTTGTATGGTTTTGCTATAACGACAACGCAGCGGTCATGTCACTCAACGGATCTACAGACTTGGCAATTCCCAATTTGATGAACAAGATCAGCAGCGTCAACGGAGAGCCAAGCGACAGTGAAGTGCTCGCGCGTCAGCCAATTTATCTGCATTTGTGTGAAGAGCTTGAGAAGCGCTACTATGAGTCTGCTGAGGCTTCAGGTTCCGCAGCAAACGACACCAAACGTCCCTTTCCGCTCTATCTACAAGCGTCATTATTACTACGCAGTGCAATAACACCGGCAGAACATCAGGTAGCGGCTCAAAATGCAGCACTGGCAAAGATTCGGCGCACGTTGAGTGTGTACTGGGCGGAGCGTTGTTTGACGGCACTCGTGGCTGCATCTAAGAAGGGCGATAAGACACTTCGAGACTATCTTGACAACTCCCCAGCTGAAAAGATCAGCGCTCTGGTGATGGCCGACTTCCTCAGTGTTCAGGAACCGCTGACTCAACGTAGTGAGGCTCTTGTCACGCACATCTACAATCAATTAGACTCGCCCGAACACGTTGCTTCGTGGATCGAATACGTTAAGGCAAAATCGAACGCAAACTCTGAAAACCAAGCAACCGAAGAATTTGCTGTTGCTCCTGCAGTGTATAAGCCGTCAGTGCGAGAAACGTGCTTCATTTGCGAGAAGAGCGTTCCGTTTGGAGAACTGGAGATTACCTGTGAGTCTGGTCATACTCTGGAGAGATGTTTCCTCTCGTTCCGCTGCTTATCGGCCATGGAGGTGTGGAAGTGTATGGGCTGTGGGGCGTCAGCGTCTGAAATCAACTTGTCCAGCGGCACGTCCCCATTTTATTTATTGGACTCGGAGGAGTATGACGACCAGGAAATCGCCAGTCCCGCTGCTTCGAGGATGAAGATAATTTGTCGCCTGTGTGGTAACTACTGCTCCTTCTCGAAATATTGAAAAAAGTATGGCTATGTGCTGTTTAGTAGTGAAAAAAAAAAGGATCGACGTGTGTATTCACTGTAAATGTACGGGCGGTTCTACCCGTTCTCCTTTTCAATTTATGTCTTCGATACTCGTGTGTACTCCATTTTACGAGCACTTCTCCGTGTTACTTCTACCGAAGTTCTGCGTCCAGTAGTGCTTGTACGTCGAGCTCTCGGTGTACGCGTAACCACAGCCGAACATGGTGAACTTCTTGCGCAAAATATTGTCACGGTGGCGAGGAGAGTGCATCCATGCCGTCATCACTTCCTCCACCGATGTGTGGCCGGCCGCGACGTTCTCACCGGCAGCAGTGCGGTCATAACCTGCACGCTGGATCCGCTCCGACATCTTCGAGCCATCCGAGCCCGTGTGGCTCATGTAATCTTTCGCAGCCATGTCGTCCGAGTGGCCCTGGGCGGCGTTCTGCAGCTTCGTGTTCATGCACAGCGGGGATAGTCCTTGCGCAGCACGTTCGCGGTTCACAGCATTGAGTAGTTCGGCCTGGAACCCGTTGGGCGGGTACGCCGCCTGCAGATATCGGTGGTTAGCGCCGGTGGTGATGTTTTCGAGGTCCTCGAAAATGCCGTCGCCGATGATCGGGGCCGGTGTCTCGATGTCCTCAAAGATGGCATCACCAATGATTGGCGTCGGGATTGAAACATTAGCAGCCAACTTGACTTCGACTGCAGCCGAGTAGCCCAGCAGTGTCACCACCAGAGCCATTAAGAGCGTAAGGCTTGACATGACTTCAGCACACCAGGACGGGGACGAGGTCGGAGCGTGGCGACAAAAAGGGGAATGAACCACATCGGGCTGCGAATCGGTTCGGCAAGGTGGGTTAGAAGTGTGCCCCTATCCATGGTAGGCTATCATAGAGAGAATGAACACTGCATTCTACAGTTGGATGGCAAAGCTTGGTGAGCGTTAGGTAGCATAGGGGACCCTCCATTGGAAGGACGAATGTCCGAATACTTTACTTGGAATCGTCGGTTGTTGGTCGTGTCTGGCACGGTCTCAACAATGATTCTGCGAACGAATGTTGGGCCAAGCAAACGCGGTTGTCCTATATTGTGTAGGTTATCTCAACAAACAAGTTTTATTAAATTCATTTTGCAAGGGATAAAAGATCTAGTACGAGATGTGGGCGGGTCAATGACCACGTCAATCTCCTGAGAAAAACTGATATTAATACATGTACAGCGTTAATAAGGCGACGCTCGAGGAGCCGAATACTCAACTCGAAAAAAAAAAATCCTGTCCTACTAACTATAACACATGTGCAAATTGGCTGTACAATTTGTCGTTTTGGCAACGAATTTCATGAGAATGTCTGCCCACCGAAAATCAAAGGGATGTGCCTTACAATGTAACATCGTCGATGTTGAATCAACTCGGAGGTGCCTCTGTAATACATCAAAAATGCAGCATAATTAATAGTCTGTTCTACACAGACTCTACAGACTCTGTAGAGGAGATCCGATACCTTGCGGGTCGACAATGAAATCGAGCCGCGCGTTATGGTACGAAGATTGAAGGTAATGATCAAGAAATCTTCGAGCTCAAAGTGGAAGTCGAAAATCCTTCATTCAAAAAAAAAAAAAAAATTCTCTGCCACGCAAATACCAACCAAGTGTAAGGTGACATAATCTACTACCGCCCGAGTATTTTAGTTTAGTAACAAACGAATTAATTTTTTCTTTCGACATAAAATATTAGAGCGCCGTCCTTTCGATGAGGCGATGATTTGTCACTGATAGGAATGAGCGTTGTGGTCGACCGCATAGCGCTTGGGGACGCAAGCAGATGCCAAATGGCGTGAATTTCACGCCACAGGATTCGCACCAAATCGGTTTCCAACATGACTCCGACACATACTCAGTCGATGCGACTTCACAATACGACAGCTTCACATGACTCCAGAAGATCTCACAGTAGTATTATCAGAAATTTCGTTGGCCCCATGTTTGAATGTGTGCCAAACCAATTTGGAGACAATCTTATCCCACGGAACAGGACTCTCTCCCATTCTGTAGCTGCTGTGCTCGAACTTCGAGCCTCGAAGTAGTTTTCACATCCGAACGAGCGATCTCTGCGGATTTCTCAGCGATGGCACACGCAGCAAATATGCAACTAGTGCTTTCGCCCGACCCGTACGACAGCACTCGATTTGACGTCGAGTATCAAGCTGACCCTTTCGACAGTCCCAAGGCTTGTGAAGGTCTTGAAATTCCTGTTCGAACGGCTCTCGGCAAGCTTTGGCATGACGAAAAACATGCAGCCGATATGAAACAGATAATGGTCGCCGTAATCTCCTTTTGCATCTTCGTCGCTGCGATGTTTCTGCACATTCCGACTACAAACATGTACTACCAGAACAATGCTATGTCTCCAGAATCCGGACGGTCGGCCATCGCAGAAGGAGTTCCAGTCAAATTTATGGATATCGCAACCGTGTCCGATACTTTCGACTGGTTAAACGACTCATTTATTCCGCAAGTTTTCGTCACGAAAGACTACAATGGGAAAACACTTCCAAAAGATGAATGGGGTCGTATTGGATCACTTAACCAGGTTTTAGGTGGAGTCAGCTTCGAAGTGACGCACATGGAGCCGGACGCTTGCAGCGTACCAGACTTTCTTGAAAAGTTATACCCGAGTTGCTACGATGAATCTACGACGAGAACCGAAAAATTACTCGTAACCTTCGATACCAACGCAACGGAAGCAAGGTCGACGTTAGCGAAGAAGAGAACAAATGGAGATTGGCTCAAGTTGGCAACACAGCAATTGTTGATCACGATCATTACGGTCAATGGTGAGCTGCCAGCATACGCGATCACGAAGCTCCAGTTCGAATTCAACCCTGGCGGATATGTTGAACCTAGCTCTTCAACAACGTCAACATTACTTGATCAGTTCCCGAACGCTACCACAATTGCACTCGACATTCTTGTACTTCTGTGGTTCTTCCCATGGATGTTGGTATCAGCATTGCTTTCGGTAGTGGTGCGTCACAGAAATATGAACCGCGAGTCGTCGAGTCGGCATCTTAATGAACTGGTAAGGCACGCAGGCATGGCGATTAGCTTTTGGGCATTTCCAGACGGATGGTTCGCTATCGACGCGCTGAGGGGACCTATTGTGTATGCCTACTATGTCACTGTAGTCATCGCTCAGACTTCCATGACGAATTCAGCTTTCCGTACTAAACTTTCAGCACTACGAAATGCTGGCCAAAGCCAAGATGATATCAAGGCGACACTATCGTCGGTCACCGAGTCATTTGAGCACATTGCGAATCTGACAGTTCTAATTCGTCTCTTAGCTACGGCTGCAGTATTCGTGCTGGGACTTCGCGTTTTAAACACTTTCCGGGATCACGTTGGCTTGAGCATTCTCACACGCACGATTGCTAGTGCAGTGCGATCTTTTAGAACCTTTTCCGTCATTTTTGTGGTGATTTTCGTTGCGTTTGCTTCAACTGGAACTGTATTATTTGGGAACAGCGTTGAGCAATTCTCGTCGTTGCTAAATTCAACCAAGACCTGCGTTAACATGCTTTTCAACAACTTCGATGTCAAGACTATCGACCAGATTGACTATTCTGTCACGTTCTACTGGAGCTACATGTCGTTGATGACTTTTGTGCTGTTGAACATCGTGTTGGCGATTGTGGTTGACGCGTACAAGGAAGAAAAGGACAAGAAGGATAAAAGCAAGTGCTGGGTGTTTCATCGAGTGCTCGACCACGTGATTCGACACTGGTTGGCTCCAGTACGCCACGTTTTGGCCTTCTTCTTGTGCTGTAAACCAAGTCGACGATATTCTGTGGTCTTTTGGGGAAGAATTCGGGCACGTGTATTGCAAGAAGCACTGACCGATAGACTCGGTGCCATGCCGTTGGATTGGTCACCACAGACGAAGCTTACACCGATTGTCATCAAGATGCTGTTTCCTGACGCAACAATTAAAGAGTGCGAGGCCACCATCGCACACCTCATGGCACGCGTCAAAGGGGACTGCTGTCCTAGCTCGGAAGAAACACAATGGTCTGAAAGGCCAAGTCTACGCAAGACATCGATAGCTAGCAGCTCACCAAAGTCACAAGCAGAGGAGAAGTGTGGTTGCTGTATTGACATCAACACGGAGAATTCGGACTTCAAGCAAGTCTCCGTACGTCTTGACTTGCTTGAACAAAAGTTAGATTATCTTATCGAGAAACTCACACATAAGGCGTTTTAAATTTGAAAACGCCAATTGTAGCAGTGTGGGAGATTTATCATTCGCATGAAATCTCTAGTTTAAATGTGTTGCCTCTCTTTTCATCGACGATGAATGCAGCGTTGTAGTCCGATTTAAATCCAAGTCAAAATCATTAAGCAAACTTGTGCTTGGTACCGCAAACACTACTCTTGACGAAACACGATGACACATTCCAGCTCAAACTTACCATTCGTCTTCATAGCTTTGATCAATTGCGGCGAAGCCTTGTAATCCCACACGAAAATGCGTTTACGTCCTTCGTCCGTGTAATATTTCAGCGGAGCGGATAGAAGTCCGTAGTCCATAATGAGATCATCTCTTTCTTCGCGCACTTCAAGTGAGCCGAAGAACCCTGTAGAAGATTGGGCTGTATACTTTCCGAGCATTTTCGATCTCGCCACAGAGCTGAGGGAGCGATACGGCGGATTCTTCCAGAAGCGCAGTCCACAAGCCGGTACACCTTCCATGATAGATATCAGCTTATCGTTGTTGCGCCACTGACGATACGCAAAGTCCAAAATGTCCTTCGGGACATCCAAAAACACCCCCATAACATACGAACGTATATGATCAAGCGGGTAAGAGAGATGTCCGTCTGGAGTTTGAGTATTGCTCATAAACATCACGCCGAGCTGCGCATCAGGAGCAATACCAGTTCGAGTTACATGCACTGCGGTATCGCCACTCTTGTCGACATACGCGTGACCCCATTGTCCAATGCCAATATAATCGAAGCCGTATCCTGAAGCAAGAGTGTTCCCGTCCGGGTAATACTGATGCCCCTCGATCAAGAACTGGTCCATAAACTCCTTATTGACCGCATATTTACCCGTGATCATTTTGGTCACTGAAGCAGGATCCTTCAAAATCGTGACTCCATCTGCTGTTCCTTTGTTCAGAATCAGTCGAAGTAACGTGGCTAGGTCGTCCGAACTCGAAAGTGTGGACCCCGATGCAATTTTTTGGCCTTGGCCATGACCAGCGAGCTGAGCTTCCGGGTTCTCGACGAGATCGTAGGGTCCAAGGAGATCTTCACCGCATAAAAAGTGACCGTAACTAGTGTCGTTGTCTCCTTGAGCGTCGAAAGCTGACGCAAACGTTCGAGTCATTCCTAAAGGCTCCCAAATTCTTTCTTTCAGGAAAACATCCCATGACTTTCCAGTCACGCTCTTGATTACCTGTCCGAGGATGGCAAAATTCGCATTGGCGTAGTCATGACCACCACGAAGTGTATGTGCTGGCTCAATGAACGCGAGACCCGGCATCAATTCTTCATCCGTTGGGTACAGTCCAAAAAAGCGACCAATATCAGGGAGATCGTTTAGTCCGGAATTCATAGCACATAAGTCCCCGATGGTAGCGTACTCTTCGGCATACTTGTCGTAAAGTCGGAAGGACGGGAAATGTTTCTTTACCGGATCATCCCACGACAACTTTCCTTCCTCATCCTGCAGCCATTGCCACCGTTAGACAAAATACAGTATTTAAATTCCCCATACAAAACAGTCATAAAATTGCTGCTTACTAGGATGGCGATGCCCAAACTGATGAAGGTTTTCGAGACCGATCCGATCTGGAACAATGTAGTACTGGCGACCTTGCTACTGGGATCGTCAGACTAGTAGTCACCATTAATCCGTATGCATTTCTTGTATAGCACAACGAAATCAAGCACGTCTGCTTCTCTTACCTTGCTCAGACCATATCCCTTACTCAGCAGCACCTTGTCCTGGTACACGATGGCTCCACTCACGCCAACACCTCGTTGCTCGTCGATCGCCAGCTCCCGATCAAGAAATTCGTTGACCTCATCCAATTTCACTTGTAGCGAGCGTCCACCCTTGGGGAACCGACCCTCTCGTGTATAGCGAGCGATCTGGTCTTCTAATGGCTCCTCTCGCAGGATATCTCTGGCACGGTAGCCTACACGCCACTCGTCGAAGATGTTCGGTGATAAAGGTGACGGCCCTGCCTCCACGGCATTGCCAGCTACCTTGGTAACTATAAACAGGCCTACAAGACCCCCGCGCATCGATATCATTCCCACTTTACCGTAAGATCTTCGAATGGCATTGAAATCGTGCCAATGACACGCATGACTTTAGCAGAGACCGTGATACACTCATCATGGTGCAACGGGAGGGACAGCTGTTGCGCATTATCAGATGGATCTGAAGTATCTGTGCAGATTTAGCATGTTGAAGTGAATTACTGCTAAAGTTTCTTGCAAAACTTATTCGGTCTAGCGAATGGTGCTTGTTGGTCGATGAGCTCGCCCAGACGTTTAATGGTGGCCTCATGGAACTGCGCGTTAAATAGAGGAATTAGAGCTACAGTGGGAAAGAGGAGGGGAAGATAGAGAACTTACCTCCACGAAGGTGACGAAGTGCGCGCCTTCGTCCAGCAATTTGCCAAAGTGGATTTCCATCTCGCGCTCCATAGCCTCGCCGTATCTAAGATATCTGCGATGGGTTGCAAGGTTAGTGTACCTTATCGTATTCGTTAAGGTTTTGGTCACTCACAGTATTCCCATCGCATCGTCCAAGGAGATCTTGCACAGGAACAAGACTGTCAGCCTGCGATTGAGCGAAGGATTGCAACTAGCAAACGTACCCTGCCGCAACACTCCTTGTCGAACATGAGGAAGCACGTAAGGAAGAATAATTCGGACGGCTCGAGACCCGAGCGATCATTGCGGGACCTCACGTAACTGTTGACGAACTCGTCGAAGCAGACAGCGCCGTCCAGGTTGTCGTTCACCTGCCAGATCACCTCCTCCAGTCTACCTTTTTCCTGTCCAGAGAGTGGGTAGCCGAGCTGCTCATAGATCGTCAGCAGTGCCTTCGTATCGATCTGGTACTTGGAACTGACAAGTTCACGACCGAGATTCACTTCGTCCTGTAGCGTGGCGAGATACTTGAGCTTCTCTTTCATGTACTGTTCCCGTTTCGTATCCTGTTCCGATTGTGTGTATCGTCCTCGCGAAGCTTGTCGCTATCAGGAATTGCGTCGACTATTAAGAAGGAATGCAGCGATGAGACCTCCGCAAACAGCCCCTTACCTCTGGAGACTTGACACTTTCCAATTTTTCCGACTAATTCACCATTTACTCATTCATGGTTAGCACCCGTGATATCTGTGTGACGTACAAAACCCCACCTCGAGCTTATGCTCCAGCCGCCGGAGAGGAGTGTCGAATGCTAGCAGCCGAAACACTCGTCGGAGCTGAACTTGCTCTTCCACGCTCGTGTCTGACCCGCTTCCAGTTGAGTGCATCGTATTCGTACCGATCTCTTATAATAGCAAGTAACCTGAAGTGGAGAATTGATCTGACGCTTTTAGGTGCACATACGACGATTTTTTATTGACTCACTTTAGCTTCTCATGTTATTCATTTCGGTACTATTACGACGGGATGGTTACTTCTAGCTTACGAGCAGCTCTCGGTGCTTCCATAGGCAAAATCCTGCGTCCAGAAGTGCTTGTAGGTAGTACCCGATTTGTAGGCGTACCCGCAACCGAACATGGTATACTTGGTGCTTAAGATATTGGCGCGGTGTCCGCTAGATGCCATCCACGCCGTCACAACCGCATCCACCGTTGTTTGTCCGGCCGCGACGTTCTCGGCACAGGCGCTCCACTTGTATCCCGCTGCCGTGATCCGCTGTGACATCGTCGAGCCGTTTGAGCCAGTGTGACTCATGTAATTTTTGGCAGCCATGTTGGTTGAGTGGCCTTGGGCAGCAGTCTGTAGCTTCTTGTTCATGCACAATTTGGATAGCCCGTAAGCAATGCGTTGCTTGTTGACTGCGTTGAGCATCAGCGTCTGGAAGCCGGTCGACGAGTACGTCTGTAGCTCTCGAAAGACTGTGGTGGTGGACTCTTGAAGACCAACAGTCGTCCTCTGAAAGGCATCAACTGGCGTCAAGTAGTAGAACAGCGTGGCGACCAGGAACGCCATGAAGGCCAAACGGTAGGTAAACATCGGCGGGGGTGAAGAAGAAGGACTGGAGTGTCGGCTTCGGACGTTGGCGGTGAATTGCAGAGTGAGCTGTTAAATAAAGGGCTTGGCCGAGGTTTGCCTAGCGTATCCTCGAGCTACACGAGAGAACGGTGCCCACAGCATTTTATTCTATTCATCAATCGCGCCTGCGCATCGCGACATGATGTTAATAATGCCAGCAGCAGGGTTCCGTAAAATATTATTTATATGGATTTTCTCCTCTAACGCGA